AAGGTTATGAAGCCGTGGCTGTGCGCCAAACAAACGGTTGCGGTGATATGGAATGAACGGTATGCGGAATGTCATAATAATGTCCATCACTCACACCATTAAGATCGTAAAAGCCTGAGGACGTTTCAGCCAATTGTTCACTATGATATATATGATTAAAACATTTGTATTTTTCTGTAGGAAATCCTGACGTGTGTAGTTTGCTGCTGAAAGCGGGTGCCAAATTGGACGTCAGCAACGGAATCGGTCGCACAGCAACCGATTTAGCTGCATTTACCGGTACATCTTTTCTTTTCCGTTACATCTTCATTTTCGAAATTGATTTGTTCTGTTTTCAGGTCAATACCGGTGCATTTGCGTTTTGAGAAACTTTATACCGTTCAGCGATCTCGAGAAGTACATAATTAGCAAAGGTAGCAAAGATTTTTTCGCTTTATCGCTAAAACCCGGAAATGCTTTTTTTTTTGATTTTGTCTTAGTCCTCGACATTTCTTAATACTGAAAATGTGAGATATCAGAATGCTTCATTAATTATAAACTAATAATGAATATTTATGAAGTCATAGCTGCGATGGATTGAGCACATCTTACAGATGTTTCAAAAAGGAAGACGAAACAGCTACTGCTTGCTTCACCGACCGGTCGAAGACCCCAGGAACAGGCAAGAATGACTTGGAAGAAGTGTAGTGACAGACTTTGTGCAAAACTTGGGTTGTCCTCTGCCGGACTCAAACGCCGCACATGACCACGATTTTTGAGACAGTGTGTGGTTCTGCTTCCTCCGCGAACCGAAAGTATGAGCGGTTATCGAAATTTTCTGACAGTTATGAAGAACTTTCGGCAGTTTTGAAATGCTCAATAAAATCCACAGCATTTCAAGACCTAACTACCGTCAGGCCAAAATTCCGGATTAGAAAAAAGCTGTCGCAGTCATCAAAGCCATTATACTTCATGCAACGTATGGGGAGCGAACAAAGACCAGGTTTCTACAGGACTTTTCGTTCATCATTGCTTCATCAGTTCTTATGAGACTGCTTACCTCTGTCAGCTCCATTGGAAGTTTCAGACAGCTTTTATTCATGGGTCTTTGCTGGACCTCAATATTTTTTGTTTTAAGGTTGCGGTTCCAGCGCTCGTCTGCCCCCCGAAATCGCTGCTTTATTATACGAGCTCCTTTTGTCACCCAACGTCCACCCGGTTCACGTAAGACCTTTCATAATTTACGGTTGCATTAGTTCATATATGTTCCTCGCTAAACTTTAGGTCGTTTTATTTCTGCGTCATCATCCAGAGTTGCGTCAGTATCGTAAGGAAGTGTTATACGTTACCGAAGATTTGATGGAAAGCTTGATCAAAACTTCCGATTGTAACGAGGTTTTAATTTATTCACATTTTGTTTTTGTTGTCTGTTGTTTCTTCATATTTCAATGTGCTGCTACACAAAAGCTCTTGAAGACTAAAGTTGCAAGGTTAAACGATATCATTTTTTAGATATATGATTTGCACAATACATCGCGAATTGCTTTACATTAATAGTATCGTAGTGAATTACGATAATTGCCCAAACGCCGGGTTATACTGCAGCATTCCATTGCCCCTTGCTTCTAGATGCTTAAAGGAACCGTTTAGACTGGTCACATGGCTCCATGGAGTTTAAGCACTGCCGATACTTGGATGCAACAAAACATGGGTCGAATTAGGCACTTCAACTCGTTAAATCGAAGTTGGACTCAATTAGAATACATGCCGATGGCACCGCTGATTTTGCTTTTTAATCTAACTCTATGCATTTTGCGGCTTCTTATTTTTTGTTTGTGTAACGTTAGCCGCAGTTTCTTGTTATTTGCTCTGTCAATTGATAATCAGTTTTTTTTATTATAGTAATCTCGTTGGATACCAACTCTGCTTTCTTAACTACATTCCATTCCTCCCGTAGTGTGTGTAGTATCTGGATCGTGCTTCGGTCAAGTAACTTGGTGGTTTCTCATTTATGAGCTACCATGGAAACTTCAAAGTCATCTAAGAATTTAAACGTAATCAATTCCTGCAATACAAATGTTTGCAGCTAAAGGCATGTTTGATATGCCTATAATAACAGTTTATAAATAACTCAAAAACCGGTTTATTTATCCACAGTGCAATGTTATGGTATATGAGATGATCGGCAGATACGGACATTTGGACCCCTGTCTAACATGACTTCTTAAAGGCAAAAGGTGCGATAGTGTTTGGCTGCTATGGAAGCCGTCTTCAGTGACGAGTTGACATTGTCGCAGGACTGGTTCATTAATGTCTTTTTGATGTCCCGGCTCAGCCAGTATCATTAGTTGATGCATTCTGATCATCAAGGGAGTGCACTTCTGGTAACTCGCGCTGCATGATTTTTAATGCAGGTCTTTCACATTGGCGCTTCACTTAATGAGAATGCTCTTTTTTGCCAGAGTGCTTCGATATAATGGGCGACTCGCGTTCATCAGCTATTATCTATATTTTTCTGCTTGATCGGTTGGCACACGCTTCCTTATCCTTTAAGTGAGGATGTTCTTTCTTTCTTTTGTGTAATACTTCCCGCAGTTACACGAGAAGTTTGAAATCCAGCTTAGAGAATTATTTTTGTCGGAATTAAGTTTATTGTAATTTTATTTATTATGTTAATGTAATACGTAGTATTTCATGATCTTCTTGACTTTTCACCAAAGTCTTTACAAGCTACATTGAATCAGTGCTTGTTTTTGAAATTATGAATTTGTACACTTTTGGGATTGCAACTTAATTTAAAGTGTATTTATTATTCTGCCCTTTATTATTTCGTTATCGAGTTTAACGGAATAGTTAGCGGTATTTTATATGGTTAGTTTTGCATGTATTGTTTTTTGAAGTTCATAACTTGTAGCTAGGTGGCTAGGTGACCATTACAGCGTATAGTCTCCTGGTTCATTTTAGTATTATGGGACTCATTTATCAACCTTCATATGATGAAATGCTAGTGACTCAGCCGGAATTAGAAGCCGTGATTCTTTTAATCAAATCTGAACTCTCGTTTGTGCTGTCGTGGCGTCATGTGATTCTACACGCACCAAAAGGAAGCACCTGTATTAACTGGAAATTTAATGAACTTACCTTAACTAGAGCAAGAATCAGAGTTTAGTCTGTGATCGTTCTGTGAATGTGGCTAACTTTCTTTAGCTTTTGTTTCGTTTCGGTCAAAATATGTTTTTTTAGATAATGGCTTTCAAGTTCAACATCATTTTGCATACTCTTCAAGAGGTATTTAAATTTTTGGAACATGACGGTGAAAATGCTTCAAAGCCAGACAAGGATAAGTTGCTCACGTTTGCAAAGAGGTATTTGGCATTCTTTTCCGCCAGTGTTCATCCGTAACAATCGCATGAATGAAATATGTTACTGTTGTAGCTTACTGGCGGTAGATGCAAGCGGAAAGGCCAGCCATTTTAATAACTTTCTGATCGTGGCCATCCAAAAATTTCCATTCAAGCAAACGGTTGTTTACCAGCAGATTGTTCAAGAAACCTGCACCAGTAGTCAGGTAGGTATTAGTTAATTAATAGAAATACTAAATTTTGTTATGCGACGCAACTTAAAATTGTTACCGTCAAGAATGATAATACCTGTATATCGGTATAGATTGAAATCAGTTTATTAGTATTGATTGAAAACTAAACTGATTATTTCTCTGTTCGTTTAGACCAGTAATTTGTAGTTTCATCGCATTGCCGCATAGGTCTGGGCATTAACTTAAACCTAAAGGGGCCAACTTAGAGTTTGTACACTCTATTAGCTAACAGAAATAGAACTTTTGGTAAACTTTTTAACGTAAAAATGGCTACATCATGAAATTATTGGAAAAAATTTACTGAAGCCTAGGCGTATTGTTAAAGGTAAACCCAAAATCAGAACTAATTTCATTGTTTGCCCCCGGATCGTCACAATGTTTTTTGGTTGAACATTTGTTTAACCCATGTTTAAGACGCGGTGCTGCGTCCTGTGTGCTGCAGCCCTTAAATACAATGGAGACGTGATCTGTTTAAATGGTGCTCCTAGGCATCTAGAAACAAGGGGGCGGGCAACAGAGCTGCTGGTGTAAAGTGAGAAATTCATTTTTCTTTCTTTGCACTGTATCTTCGCCATTTCAATCTGATAGCATAATGTTTAATATATTTTCATTGTAGACATCTCATTTATTCAAGTAAAATCGTTATGTGCGAACAGAATGAAGGATTTTAAATTTCATTCAGCTCAATCAGATTTGCTTAAGTGAACTCTATGGCACACTGAAAGTTGCCAAAATCTAACCAGTACAACAAAGACAGGCTGGAAGAAAGTAGACCACTATCAGGTTGTCCGGAGTCTGTTATTTTCACATCGATTATACATTGAACAGCAAACCGAACGATTGACCTTCAGTAAGTCTTAGTCCGGAATTTGTTGAGATCCTCAACGAATCGAAAGATAGTGTTGGAAGCAGAGGTACAGTGAGGCCGTCAAGTCAGTTAAAATAAAACTTCTTAAATCATCTGTTGTCTTTATCAGACATCTATTTAGAATTGCGCTTAAACTCTTCAGCGCCATAATTGCACAGTCGGCCAAATAATTCTAATAATTTTGGCTGCGAACCAGTTGTTTTTTGACTTGCATTTCACGGTGAAACACTGCAGGTCGTCTTCGCAGAACTTAAATATCTCAGAACAGTTTGCTGACCAGGTCAAGTTGATCCCCTTATTAGAGCATTGCCATGCTTCTTAACTCTCGCGGGAGAGTCAAGGAAGCAACCAACGTGGTTTTTTAACCCGAAGTCGTTCTCATTGTCCGTGGGATATAGACAAATTTCGTGTGGGAGAATGGCGCAAGTGTAGCCAAACATTGCATGGCGAGAAACGACGTTAGTTTATTGATCTTCGGCATGATGGCATGGCAGCTGTTGAAAATGATCACGGGAAACACCATAACCCCCTTTGGCAGCTGGTCCTTCTGCTTGAGTATGCCATCCGCCTCGTCTGCTACGTCTGGTCTTACGAATTCGTCTACAGTCATCCACAGAGGAACGAAGCGGCAAGAAATCCATGGGTTTGCACGTGCTGCAACCGAATGCTCACGACGTTGACACTCATGATAGCATCAGTATCATGGAGGGTGCAGTGGTTGACGTTTTTATGACGATAAAAAGATATTGAAATTATGCGATTAGCCAGCTAATATATAGTTAGCACGAGGGCTGACATTGATGTTTTTAATATGGATATAAAGGCGATATGTTTTATGTTACAGTATTTGGAAATATTAACTAACCTCTTAACTTTGTAGGACGACTGTGTGCCAGCTCTAGACGCTATAAATGAATTAGTTATGGGACAGTGTATGGCCACCAAAGAGACGTTTTGTGTGTCATGTGGTGAGCCAAATTCTCGTCTGCGGTGCTCTTCTTGTAAAAAGGTGACGTTTTCTAATTTTTTGTTTCATAGTTAATCCTGTCTTTAATAAACGTTCAACATGTTGGTTTCTTTAGTATATCTCAAAGTAGAACAGTACTAGGAATATACCAATAATCATTGTAAACTTGGGAATAGAACGCAGTAAAAC